CTTCCAATCCAAGAGCATGGGATATCTTTCCATCTTCTTGCATCCTCTCTAATTTCTCTCAGCAGTGGTTTGTAGTTCTCATTGTAGAGATTTTTCACATCCTTGGTTAACTTTATTCCAAAATATTTTATTCTTTTGATGGCTGTTGTAAATGGGCTAGTGTTGTGGATTTCTTTTTCTGCATGTTCACTTGTTGGAGTATAGAAATGCTACTGATTTTTGTGTTGATTTTGTATCCTGCAGCTTTGCTGAAATCATTTATCAACTCTTAAGAATTTTTTTGTAGAGGCTTTAGGCTGTTCAATATATAGGATCATGTCATCTGCAAACGGGGACAGTTTGACTTCATCTTTTCCAACCTGGATGCCCTTTATTTATTTCCTTCTCTTCTCTGATTCCTCTGGCTAGTACTTCCAACACAATGTTGAATCGGAGTGGTGAGAGTGGGTATCCTTGTCTAGTTCCTGTTCTTAAGGGAAAAGTCATTCAGGATGATATTGGCAGTGGACTTATCATATATGGCTTTAATTATGTTGAAAAACTTTCCGTCTATACCTAACTTATAGAGAGTCTTTATCGTGAATGAATGTTGAGTTTTGTCAAATGCTTTTTCAGCATCTATAGAGATGATCATATGGTCTTTGTCTTTGATTTTATTGATGTGGTGTATCACATCTATTGATTTGCATGTGTTGAACAAACCTTGCATCCCTGGGATGAATCCCACTTGATCATGGTGTATAATTTTGTGTACGTGTTGCTGTATTGTTAGCTAGTATTTTACTGAGGATTTTTCCATCTATATTCATCAAGGATATTGGCCTGTAGTATTCTTTTTTGTTGTGTCTTTGTCTGATTCTGGTATCAGGGTGATGTTTGCTTCATAGAATGAGTTTTGGAGAATGGCCTCTGTTTCAATCCTTTGGGGTAGTTTGTAGAGAATTGGTATCAATTCCTCTTTGAAGGTTTGTTAGAATTCTGCAGTGAACCCATCTGGTCCTGGGCTTTTCTTTGTTGAGAGCCTTCTGATAACAGCTTCAATCTCTTTTTTTGTTATTGGTCTGTTCAGGTTTCCTATATCTTCTTGGCTTAGTTTTGGTAGTTTTTGTGTGTCCAGAAATTTATCCATTTCCTCCAGATTTTCAAATTTGTTGGCATGTAGTTCTTTATAGTAGTCTCTAATGATTTCTTGTATTTTTGAGGTATCAGTTTTAATATCACCTTTTTCATTTCTAATTTTTGTTATTTGGGTCTTCTTACTTCTTAGGTAGTCTTACTAATGGTTTGTCAATTTTATTTATCTTTTAAAAAACCCAACTTTTTTTTTTTTTTTACTGACCAGTAACAGGATCGCAACCCTCAGTGTCGCGCCCGCACCACGCTGAGCCAGTGAACGGGAACCAGTCTCCACATGGGATCCAAACCCTTGGCAGGAGCGCTGCCGCGCTCCCAAGCGGCTCACTCTCCAGTGCGCCACCGGGCCGGCCCAAAACCCAACTTTTTGATTCATTGATCTTTTGTATCTTTTTTGGGTTTCTATTTCATTAAGTTCTGCTCTGATCTTAATTATTTCTTTCAGTCTACTAACTTTGGGTTTGGATTGTTATTATTTTTCTAGTTGTTTAAGGTGAAGTGTTAAGTTGTTCACTTGCCATCTTTCCATTCTTCT